GATGCGACGAGCTGCTGGCCCTCCTGCGCCGTCAGGCAGTGACTGCAGCAGGGAGGGCGTCGCGCAGGCGCTGCAAGGCCTGGCTCGACTGGGCGCGCGACGCCACCGCAGCGGATGGCATGCGCAAGGCGTTTCGCTGGATCCGCGAGCCGGCCCCATGGGCGGCGGCGCGTCGGTCGCCAGCCGCGGGGCTGCAGACGGCGCAGGAGACGGCGGACGCGGCCATCAACCCGCGGCACGCCCTGTGGAGCCAGGGCGAGGGGCTGGAGGCGATCCGCTGGCCAAGGGAGCTTGGCGACGCGCCCCCTCTGCCGACGCCCGAGGAGCTGCGGAAGGTGGGCCACTCCTTCCCGCACATCGCGGGCCTGGGGGGCGACGCCTTCCACCCGCGGCACGTCACCTTCCTATCGGACGGCGCGCTGATGGCCCTGACGACGGTCTGGCGGCACATGCTGGCCCTTGATCACGTGCCGAACGCGCTGGCCGTGCTGCAGATGGCGCTCATCCCCAAGGCCGATTCGGGGTTCCGCACCATCGGGCTCTTCGCGGGCTCCCTGAGGCCCTTCACGCGCTGGACGCGCGGCGCGCTCGGCGCCCGCTGGGCCAGCGACCACCAGAGGGATTACGTCTACGACACGGCTGGCCGGAGCGGTGAGACGCGTGTGTGGATCCAGGCGGCCAACGCTGAGGTGGCGACGCACCGCAGGCAGGCGGCTTGCACGGTGCTCATGGACCTCTCCAAGGCCTACGAGCACATCCCGCGGGCGCTGCTGGTCCAGCGCGCCCGCGCCATGGGCTTCAACATGATGCTGGTGAGGATGCTCGTCAGGCTGTGCGCTCTGCCGAGGCTGGTCACCGTGGACGGCGTCGCCATGGGCTGCTGCAGCCCGCTGGCGGGCTGCAGCTTCGCCGACTTATGCATGCGCATATTCCTGGCCCCGCGGCTGGACGAGATCGTGGCACTCCGAACGGTGGACGTTAGCAACACTGTCGACGACATCCAGCTCAGCAAGATCGGGCTGCCCAGAGTCGCGGCGGCCAACGCCAGCGCACCCTACAAGAGGATTCGAGACGACCTCTCGGCGGACGGGCTCGTAGTCAACGACGGCAAGGGCGTGGTGCTGTCCAACTCGGCCGACTATGGTCGCGAGGTCACGCGACGCTGCCGCCCCCTGCGAGGCAAGCTCAAGAGCTCGGCGAGGAACCTGGGCATCGACTACGCCAGCGGGCGCCGTGCTGGAGTGAGCACGCGAGCCAGGCGCACTGCCGCAATCCTGCGCCGTGCTGCGCGCATTCGTGTGCTGCGTGCGGCCCGAGGGAGAACACTGGCACGGCAGCTGGTCAGCCTTGGGCTGACCCCAGCGGGATGTTGGGGGGCGGGGGCGACGGGGAGGGCGTGGAGCGGGATCGAACCGATGAGGCGAGCTGCACACTCGGCCCTGTTCGTGCACACAACTCGGCGCTCCCTCGATGTTGACCCCCACCTCGCCCCTGCCTCCCCGTGGTCGGCAGACCCCGCCTATGCTTGCACGGCAGGACCCATACTCATGCTGGCCCGAGCGATTTGGTCCTCGTGGGTTCCTCGGGACTCGGTTGCCAGGCTGATGTTTGCTTCGGAGGCCGCTTTCTTGGCCGACCCGTCAAAAAGCGACTGGCCCCTGGTCAAGGGCCCGATCTCTGCCGCCGTCGCCAGCTGCCGTCGGATCGGATGGAGGCCCAGCCCAGGTGTGTGCATGCTTTTAACCCACGAGGGGGATACAATCGACCTCACTCGTCTGTGCCCCCGTTATGCGCTGCATGTTGCTCGTTTTGCCATCGAGGACTGGCTAATGGATCGTGCTCACAGGGGTTGCGAGTATTTGTCGAGCCTCTCTCACCGTCCCTAGTTGTTCCCCATTCGCAGGCTCTGCGACGGCGCGCGCGGCCCCGACTGGGCCCCTCGGCACCAGGCCAGTATCCGAGCGATTGCCGCGAACGGGATCTGGGACCAGGCTCGGGAGTTTCGACATGGTCTGACGACCGATCCGTCGTGCCCCCTGTGTTGTTGCTGCCCAAGCACCTTCGCCGCGTGGGTTGCGGGCGAGTGCCTGGCCACTTGGCAATTCGTGCGCGAATCTGACCCCCCCCCTCCGTCAGGTCGGGGCTCCGCGAGCACCCCGACTGGGCCCTCTGGAGGCACGGCCTGGTCCCTGACCCTCGCCCTTGGGTGCTTGGCCCGTCCCTCTCCCTCCACGTCCGCTGGCTCAAGCGCCCACTGGACGGCCACTTCGAAGGCGAGGCCTTTGGCGACGGCTCGTGTGCGTCGCTGGTGCAGGGCGACCAGCGCCTCAGTCGTGCTGGCTGGTGTGTAGTGCAGGTTGACGCCCGAGGGGAACTTGTGGCGTCCCTGTGCGGTTTGCTGCCTGGTCTGCACCAGGCGTCGGACTTGGCCGAGGCGTACGGCCTGCTCATGTATCTCACGCATGTTTCGCTCGGCCCCTTTCGCTACCACACGGACTGCAAATGGGTGGTCACGAGTTTTCAGCGTGGCCGCTTCGAGACCACGGGCGCCATGTGCGAGGGCGCCGACGTGTGGTCTCAGATATGGGATCGGGTGGACGACCTGGGGGGGATTGTGGAGGTGCTTAAAAGTCAAGGGCCACGCCCGCCGCCGTCATGACGACGAGCAGGAGCTGCGTGCGGTCGCGCGATGGGGGAACCATCACGCAGATGCTGGCGCTCTTGTGGGCGCTGCTCTGCATCCGTCGGATGCCGAGGCTAGCGCGCGTGTGCAGCGCTCCTTTAAGCTGGTCACGTTTGTGGCCAAGTTTCTGGCCAGGGCGCTGCAGGCTGTCGGCCCCAAGTCGCAGTCGGCACCTCGCCAAGGACAGCTGCGGCGGGCGCAGAGGAGGGGACCGACGCCTGCCCTCTCGGCGGACACGGAGCCGTCACCCGGTGTGCATGTGCCTGTGCCCGCGCCCACGGGCGGCGTCAGGTGTGCGAGGTGTTTTCGATTGGCACGGCACCGTGAGGCCTTCGACCCTCCCACGTGCGCCCCAGGAAGGGGCCACCGCGTGTGGCATGTAGGCCAGTTTGTCTTCTGCGCCAGCTGCGGGGCGCACTCGAGCGAGAATGCGCAGCTGCTGGCGCAACCCTGCCACGGTGGAGTGCCCCCCAAGACACGCCCGCGCTTGGACCGTCTTTGGGAGGGCCTCCACCCTCGCACTGGGCGGCCGCTGCTGCCGACTGACAAGGGTCAGCTGAGGCCACGCCCATTCGGCGAATTCGTCATCGACGCCACCCTCGGGGGCCTGGTCGTGGTGGATGACGATCGCGCCGAGTAGGGGTGGCCTCCTGACCCGTCCTCGTGTGGCACTCCCTTTGGGAGGTGCCCGAGCTTCTTCCTTCACGTCGGGCATATGCCTGAGTCTGCTTGCGTAGCCAGCGCACGCTTGTGGCCCCGTCTGGATAAATTCCTCCTCCTCCTCCTCCTCCTCCTCCTCCTCCTCCTCCTCCTCCTCCTCCTCCCCCTCCACTTCCTCCTCCTCCTCCTCCTCCTCCTCCTCCTCCTCCTCCTCCCCCTCCACCTCCTCCTCCTCCCCCCCTCCTCCTCCTCCTCCTCCTCTGGTCCTAACGCCTTTCCTCTCCTCCTCCTCCTCCTCCTCCTCCTCCTCCTCCTCCTCCGCCTTCGCCTCCACCTCCTCCTCCCCCATGTTTCTTGCCCCAGCCGCGAGGAGGATCGCGGCGACGGCGGCACCGGACGCCCGGCGATGTGGCCCTGCTCATGGAGGCCTCCCAGATGGGAGTCCGAGCAGATGGGGTCGAAGTATCGCGCCGCATCGCTAATGTATCGCCGATGTATCGGCGATGCATCGGCGATGCATCGGCGGCGCCAGCGTGGAGAAAAGCGGGCTGCACATCGAGCCGCAGCGCCGATCTATCGGCGATGCGGCGCGATCCTCCGACCCCATCGACTCGGACCCCACCTAGGAGGCCTAGAGATCAATAAGACGATCACAGGAGGAGAACAACTTCGGATGCGGAGACAGCCGACCTGTATCAGACGGGTGCGCGGTGAGGATGAAAGGGCCTTGGATGTCCATATGAACGTTTTTCGAGCGAGCCTGGCCGGCGAAAGCCACCAAGGATGGGCTGCAGCGGCAAGTTTGCCAAGGATGGCTGGCCAAAGTCGCCAAGCATGGTCAGGATGGGAAGTTTGCCCACCCTTACCATGCTGGTTGACTGTAGCAGAGGTCAAGGCGATGTGGTCATGTCCAATACGAGGACCACAGGATGCGGACAACATCGGACGAGGATACACCGGGAAATCTCTGGCAGGCGGCGGGCCCCGAGGACTCATCGGGCGCCGCGGCCGCTCTGGAGCGCTCCAAGAGGCTCTGAGATTCGAGAGCGCCCAGCAACGACCCGGAGCGATGAGTCCTCATCGCAGGCCTGCGTGTTTCAGTCCGCGAGCCTCTTCACAAAGCTCTCCGAGGGCGTGCTCCGACGAGGACCCCGAGGCGGATCCAGCCGCCGTTTCGAGGAGCCCCCCCCCAACGAAGAAGGTCCCAGGCAAGAGCAGCAGGGGAGCCCTGACCAGACCAAGGAGGAGGGGGCAACCCAGGCTCGAAGGGTCAATTCTGGACTAACCCTGGGGAGACCATTCTTTGTTCTGTTCGGGTTTCCTGTCCCCTAGAAGTACCCGAGGATGAGATTGTTGCAATCCGCGGGCCCAAGGAATCTCGAACCCCCTTCCCCTGGGTGTGATCCATGTGGGATGATCCCGCGCCCCAAAACGGCCCAAGGATGCTGAACCTATCCGGAAAATAAGCCTAAACAGCAACAATCCAAACCAAGACCCTGATGACGATGGCGGCGACGGCGGCGGCGACGACGAAGACGACGACCTCGACGACCTCGATAACCTCGACAACGACGACGGCGACGGCGGCCATGCAAGGAGAGCAGCAGACGAGGACTCCGAGGACAGACCAGGGCAAGGCGCGACAGCCGCGCCGGGCCTCGTAGAGGCCTCTCGACGCGTCCAGCGGCGACACCTCCCAGCCGTC